TTTCTCGGAACAAGACTTCATTTTAAAATGAGGAATTGACAGGTCAGTCGGTGTTTTTGGATTGTTGTGACATATGCACTCTAAAATATCCACACATATGGTGGGCACAATTTTTTAAATTGCCAACCAGTGACAACCCCTGCAATGTCCCACTTCAAAAAGCTATCACTGGCTGTCAGAACAAACTTGTAAAAACTGGCTGTCAAGCCAGAGATTGCCATCATTGTGAGTGGGGGAAAGGTTAAAAAGCCGGGGGAGTGAACATAGTGAAAAAGGGCTCATTATTTCTGCAAGGGGCAGTATCCAAGTTGATCCTGTTGTGGATTCCTATGGAAGAACAACCCATTTGTCTGTTAGGTGGACCATGAGATGCTGATATAACAGACAATCCACTGCAGCTTATATTTAGGCCGTGTTAGCATGATGTGTGAACTTGTCCATTTTGTACTTGTATCTAGGATGAGTCTTCTGTGGTTTTAACTGGACCATTTCTTAACAAACACTTTAGTTTGTGCCTGGTTTTCTATAGACACATATAATTACATGATCCTTTGCAACAGTAGCCCAAACACACAGTCCACATTTGCACATGCCTTGCTGCTCTCAAATCAAGGGACATCTTCCCAATACTTCGGGCCAATGGTCATTGCTCCATTCATTGCAGTCTTGGCTATTGCATTTAACAGTGAGCATTATGGAGATGTAACAAGTACTTTTCCATATTAGTGACTCCTTTCTTCAAGACATGTAAATGCACTGTTGCTACTTTTGTTCATACAGGCCCTGATCTTCATACATGCTTGGCTGAAAAGTAGAGTCATATTCTTCTTGTATGTGTTCATCATTTTTATTGCAAGTGAGCATGTGTGAGAGAGACAAACTGTTGACGTGCATTCATAAGTCAAAAGAAAGATGCTGTAAGTGAGCCAACCTAAACATACACATACCAGTCTAGTTCTTTGATACATAGATTCAACAACTTTTTTCTCAGATTTGCCAGTAGTATTCCTATTTTCTTAGTCTTCCCCACTCTACATTGATTTTGTTGATTGGCTTGTTTGCTTTAGTATTACTTCTTTTAAAAAACCAAGTGTTTAGTTGTGATTAAAATACTTAAATGGGTAGGCTAGGATGCAGATGATGAAATGGGCCTTCTTTATCATCTTGTTTACTGTTCCATTGTGGAGCAGCAGTAAAACTATAATTCAGTCCTACGGTTCTTTCCTAATTGCATATAAGTATCCGTATTAGATGCATGGCTAGTCTTTTGGATCTGTTGCTTTCTGCTCCTGGTGTACCCAGGTGTGATACCCACTTCTGTTTTTGTAACTATGTGGTTTATATTGTGTGTGTTGATCTATGAAGTGTTAATTTGTGGATGTTGTAGCCTTATATTTAATGAGTAGTCCTTACTTTGATTCACAGGTGGAAAGGATTTCTACTTTCCAGGGAAATTGTGGACCTTTTCCTGTGAACATTATTAATTAACTTTGGTCAAGAATTGGCCAGATTTGTTCAGTATCCAGAGTTGTTTCCCATTTGCTGCCAGGAACCAACTCCAAAACTTGTGTAAAAGTAGCAGTAAAAATGTCTTAAAATTTCAGCCTAGTCTTATTGGGTCTTATACTTGTTTTCAAAGCAGGGTTCAACCCTGGAATTGGTAGCAGAGATTTGAATGTATGTAGCGGTTCTTATTAGTGAACAGATCTACACACATGGTATGTTTATTTTATGCAATGGTGTTGTTTTTGCCAGGGGAAGGGTACCACTGCCAGAAGAGATTTTCCTTTTCCCTGCAGTCTCCCATGTGCCTACCAGATCTACTCCAAATAAGACTGGTAGTACATGCAGAGAAGGAAATCCAGTCACTTGAGAATAAGATCCAGCTTACTAATAAGAAGTGCACAGAAATAAGAATTTAACTTTCCATGATGGGCCATGCCCACATGTGTCACAATAAACATCTAATATGATATAGTAGTCCTAGGAATTAATTATAAAAAGTTAAAAATAGCTAGATCAACCCCCAGTTCTTGTACTGTTATTCTCCAGGAGCCATATCAGCCCAGTTTAACAATTTGCAGGAGGGGGTCTTCTCACCAGGCTAGATGATTCACTGCTGGCTCCCTCATCTTTTTTCTCCAAGAATGGCAGTGACTATAACTCTTCTTCCCAAGCTTCCCAGGTGTTCTGGCTGTTACTCCTGATAGGTAGACCTCTTCTACAAATAATATGTGGAAGCCTGTATCTGCAGCACTTCAGACACTTGATCTAAATCTGGCCCTCCTGCAGCCTCAGTCTGGCCCTCTGAGATTTGCCATATGGCCACACATCATTTTTTCCTACCACCAACTGTTCACTGTTTTACTGGTTTTGTGTATCTTCCCAATTCTGAAAGATAGAAATAAGGCTTTGTTACTCGCAATAAGACACTTCAGCGACAATATACTGGGGGTTTACTTTGGGTATTTTGGACCTTTCCCCTTTTACCTTCAGCCCCATCCACCAATAGAATGCATCTGTTGAGAGTTTCTCTGAAATGCAGGTCAGCCCCCAGGCTGAAAGAAGTTCAGCAACTTGCTTCAGTGGATACTTTGAGTTCCCCGTTTTATTTTCAGGCATAAGCTAAATGCTTTCTAAATGATTGTGAAAGCAATTGAAAAGTTAAGGAACATTTAAAAGGTTTTCCTTTTGATTTTTTTTTGCCTTTGTATTACATATTTCAATTCATCTAATTCATTTAATGATTATATGAATTGCATTTTAATATATAAAATATTAAAATATGCAATTGTAAAAAATAGGTTTCCAACAACATTCACTTTCAATTTGAATCTCAGCCAAAATTATTTTTAACCTGTAGTGGAAATGTGCTTTTTAAACTTTTTCAATTTTATATTTAAGGTTGAATTTTTATGTAAGAACTGGATATTTAATTGACTGATCTGGAATGAACTGGGAACAATTTAAAGTATGTGGGTGGGGTTATATTGTAGAAACCTGCACTATGAATTGTGATACTTTGATTCCTACTAATGCTTATTGCTACCTTTTCTCCATGGAATAAGTTATAATGGGACACTATTCAGATAAGATCATGGATATAGCAGAAAGTTGAAAATCAAGATTCTGATTCCACTTGCATTGTTTGAGAAATTTAGGTTTTGGTAACTTCAAGTGCCTATAATTTTTTACAGTACTTCATGTAAACAGACCTCTGATACACTAATATTCTGAATTACATGTGGATCCACATGTAGCTGAAACAGCACCTTCCATGAACAAGAGTGAAGTAGCAGCAGGCTTGGAAAAACTCCAAGGTTTGCAACGCTGCAAAACACATTTGGGGGGGAAAAACCTAGGAGGGTAGGAACTGCTCCAGATCTAGTGAGAACTGAGCATACTGTGCCACAGAATGGTAATTGACTGTTGGAAGGGCAGGAGTGCAATGGAATAGCTTGGTAATGAGCATGGGTGACTGGAGCCGTGAACAGAAACACACTACATAGCAGCAGTTTGTCAGAGGTGGTACAGTTTTCAGTGTGGCATCTTGTGTCAGCATTCTACAACTAAACTGAGCAAATTAGCTGAAAATAGTAATTGTCTATGATAACTTATTTGTGAACAAGTGAGGTAATTTTAAAAATTAAAAGTTCCCATCAATGTTTACATGTTTTGTTTTAGTTTTCTGCTTGTGGCTTTCCTGTGCATTTACCTGGCCGTATTTAGTCTGCATACTAAAGGTTAGTCTGCCCAATTGCATTCTCTTTTTGCTCTTAGCTTTTCCTTTCCTTTGCCAAGACTGTTTTAGATTGTAATAGATTTCAGTGCGACGGGCCGGCTTTTAGACCGAGTGCTAAATTTTAGTCCGCAGACTAAAAAATAATCCGCGGATTATTTACCCAAGCAATTCCCTCACTGAAAACTACATTAAATATTGTAACTGTTCTCCTCAAAACGTACTAGTGAGGGCAGTTCACAGCTAACAGAAAACTCTATCACCTGCCTATTTGCACCTAGGCATAATGGAATACTGAAATCCTCCCTGGATTGTGATGTATCCCATTGTGCTTAAGTGTTGGCAGATTGTATTATTAATTCCTTGACTGTAACTGTGACAGACCTTTGCTTTTAATGTTCGTTGTTTGTATACTTTTCTGTAGTTCTTGGTGGGTGAATAAAATAGCAGAATAGGTTTCAGTAAGAACAGTTAAACAGTATAGTCTGTTTTTTCCATTGTCTATGTGGTCTTAGAAAAATATCAATCCTCATTTTAAATGAGCATGAGGGCATAAGGAAGGAAGCCACAATAAAGAAAAAAGTAAAGACTTTACCAGCACTCCTGAATGTCATGTCCAGTTCCTGAAGCATCCTAAAAATATATCAGTCAAAAAACCCTAAACTCTAAAAGTCATTGGTGGGGAAGTCAATCCAAAAAGAACAATAATCCGCGGCGGCCTGATATACATATAGCTTATAGAAATCTAAAATGGTCATCTTAGAAATGAAGCTTAACATTTTGTATCAATTACATGTGTGGTTTCAAAAACATTTTTCATCTTGTGATTTTGGGACAAATAAGTAGAGGAAAAAAAAGTATTCTGTGCATAAGAGCATGTCTTGCATTCTTTCCCATGTCTGTGGAAATCTGTATCCAAGACAGGGAGGAGCACTACAGATTAATATTGAAAATTTAATATAATTTTACTTCTACATAGTCATTTGATTTCACCTTTTTGTTATTTTTGAGTAAAGTCACTGGCATTGGAACATGCATTTAAAATGTTTCTGTACTATGCCTCACCCTTGCAAAATCAATTTTTTAAAGTTGGACTTGCTGCTTTCAAGACTGATGTTTAAAGGTTCTAATTGTATTAAACATTTAATATTTCCCCATCACCATGGATTTCTTATAATATTGGATATATTTTTCCTTGCTGGACTATTCTTTTGGATTGACTTCCCCTGTTTGGATTATTTCACTGCATTATCATCTTTAGGACTCGTCAGGAACAGGACATTTCACCTCAGGAGTACGGGTATGTACATAATATTTTTTTATATCATCAGGTTTTTCTGTTGTTGAAGGAGGAGAGGCTAAATGAGGGTGGTAAAGTTGTCACCTAACAGCCATATTTTCTTCAAGTGTCTGCTAAATATTGTCTCTCAATTTCTCAATTAAATGCTTGGGAGATGGGATAGCAGTTTTGATTTTCTGGCATTATTCACATAGATAATTCTACATAGAATTACTCATTCCAAGCCCTAGGAGAAAGTCTGCAGTTATGGTGGCTGCTTAAATATAAACTATGGTGCATTACAAGAATTATGTGAATAGCTTCTGCTTATTTATAGAAAAGGTGAAGGTGAGGAAGCAAATTCTGTATACTACAAGTATTCCTAACAAATCAGGGAAATTCAATTTTCCTCAGTTGCAATTCATTTCAAAGTAGCAATGAAGAAAAATATTAAACATGAGCAATTTTAATTTAAAATGAATGCATTTCAACACACAATTGTACTTCCACCAAATTTCATAGTATTGGGTGTTAATTTTAATTTAATGATGAAAAATTGTGGGAAATGTTGGCTTTTAATGAAATTTTACCCAGTTTTCAACACCCAGACTAAGTATCATTATTTTTTAATTTTCAAAATATGAGACTAATTTCTCAAAAAATGCAAAATCTATGAAATGAAAAATAATTTAACGTCAAATAGTCATGAGCCATGATTGGGTCACACCCCAAACATAGAAAAGTTGTATCAACAGCAGTGCTTACATTTTCTTTTGATGATGAGGGTGGTGAAGTCATTTTGTTGATTCATTTTGTAAATGAAGGGGTAGGGAAGACAGACGGAAGGCAAAATAGACATGAAGAAAGATGGATTTTTTAAAGTGAATTTGCATGTTGTAGGTTAAGGTTATGAAAACTATTGTCAAAGTTAAATAAAGCTGCTGACATAGGATGTTATGTAATATCACACAAGTGGACTTTGACCCATGGCTATTCAACTTCCTCCCCACCTCCTTAAATCTGCTGGGGGGGGGTTGTCCATACGCCACAGGAAAGGACAAATCCATCATGGGTGTCCGATCAGTTGGTTGGTGGGCACAGATGCATACAACTGATAACATTCATTTTAAAGCTCTTCTCTTGGCTTTAGTTGTACTGCTGTGGTCAGTGGATTGCAACCTAAAAATCACACTTGGAGATCCAAAACAAATCCAGTAGCTATGGTCTGAATAATAATCCAAGAGCTACCTTTCTTTAGATAACATTTAATTCCCAGTCATATTACACCTGCTCCCAACAATCAATTGATGAACTTCTAGATTCAACCTCATACCCAAATAAGGCTCTTCTTGGTTTTCGTGAGATTTCAAAAAGTAGCAGTTGGACTGCACCATCTTCAACAGGAGGTTTCCCACTCTTCCCATGTGGTCTCTCACTCTGTGTGAGAGCAAACTTACAACAGCTCACTGGGGACTTAGTGAGAAAATTTAAGTTCCCTCCAGAAATTTTTGTAACTGACTGTAACATTAAAGTAGCAAAACTAATGCATTTATTTTTCCAAAACCAACAAAACATTTTAAACATTTGTCTTCAAAGAGGGCAGCAAGATTTTGCCATTACAGTGACATATTGTTATTAGGAGCTTGCAACTTGTTATTAGTAATTTACATTTATGTTATCTGTAATGGCCCTCAAGAGTGTCTTAATAGCCACAATAAAAAAAAAAACAAAATCAGTAAAGCAAGCAAAAGCAGAAAGGACCCAAAAAATAGTAGTATGAAATGGTAAGCATCAAATAAAATTCTACTGTAGTTTCTAGGACACCAATGTAAAATGCATATCTAATAAAAAGAGTTGAGCAGAATTTGAAGGCATTGACTTTCTTAGTCATTAAATTCTGAACTCTTAATCTTACCACTCTTTTCTTTCACCCTTTTCATTGAAGAAGTGTGCTGGACATAATTACAGATGTGTTTCCTGTAGTTCCTAAATTGCACAGTTCCTCCAGTCCTTTTTACATGGAAATGAAATGGTGTCTCTAAAACAGCTGTAAAGTAATTGACTGTCATGGCCTGAAGGAGCAAGGAAAGGCAGCTGCAGTAGTGTCCAGCAGCTCTTCAGGATTGAGGCAAGGCAAGAAAAAGTGCTGGGACATACACAGGATTCAGAGCTTTCTGTTTTCCAGGGAGAAATTTCAGGAATTTTTCCAGAGGATGGGGTTGCTTACCTTCCCCTTGTCCATGATTCCCCATACCCAAAAGCCATTTTAGCTTTTTTTCTCTCCCTTTTGGCTGGAACATAAGATTGGAGCTCAGCACAGTTAGCTCTGTATGTTGGTATATTTGCAAGGGAGATTAGGCAGATTTAGGGTGAGTTACTTGCCCTCTTGTCCGTTTGTTGGTTCTCCTCTTCAAATCCCTCTCCACTTTATTTACATTACTGTGTCAAATTTAGGATTAGGAACACATGTATTCCAAGCTAGTGTGTCTTTCTGCCCTTTTCTGAGGAAAAGCCATGACTCTGTAGTATTACAGCGGTTTGGTAATGTTTCTTGCATTTTTTGCACCTGAGAGAAGAATATGCTGCCTGTAACATCTTTACACAATGAGGTGAGCTGTAGAGGGGCTAATTCCATGTTTGTTTTAGATGGATTTCTTTCAGACTAACCATGGTATTCCCTTCAACACCAGACTGGGTTTTGTTTCAATTCCAGAACAGCTAGCCACTGCAGAAAAGTTGTGTTAATTTGGTTTGTGGCTTATATTAGCTTAATTTTAGTCTTTCAATTCCTTATCTTTTGGACTTTTCCTCACACCTGGTTAGCGTTTTCTACAGTCACAGCATTCCTGATGAGAGTACACAACCACCCTCCTCTCGATTAGTGATTAGAACATTCTTACAGCAGTTTTGATTCTGCTGAATTTTAAGGACTTTTCTTTAATAGCAGGGCAGGTTTGCAGTTGATGTTGCATGTGGTATATGCTATTTCTTTTTGTGTTTCAAGAGTTAAATTCACCAGCATTCATCTCAGTTTCAGGAACACATGCCACCTTCCCTTGACCTGCATTGCACAGATAACATAGCTGAAAAAACATGTTTAAAGAACCTGTCAGTATGTGGCAAATTTGTATGTATGTGAGAGATAAGTAAACTTTAGCTGTAGTATAAAACTGGCAACAAAAGACTTTGTGGAGAGTACAAACCACAGATTTTAGGGAGGGTCTTCAATTTGCTGTTTAATTTATGGCTAGCTGACTCGGCACCCTTCAACAGTCTTTCCAAATGCCGAAAGTACAAAAACAGCCCAAATCCCCTGTCAATTGTTTACCTTACCATGTATTATTAGGGTTCATGTTAACTGATCAGTGTCATCTTGTTGCCAGTATAAATTCATGCTCAAGATAAAATTAGGTTATCATTTAAAAGACAGAATTCTTTTATCTTTCTGTCTTCAGAAAAATCCTGCTCATTTGTTTTGCTTTTTCTTTTCTCCAACCCATATGCATGGCTGACTGCACACCCATTATATTTTGAATTGATTATTTTCTTTCTTCCTACAGTTTTTCTCAGCTCTGTCTTGTATGTTTTTTAGTAGAATTACAACTTCACTCTAGTAAAGTAAGAACCCTTGCAACTAACCCATTCAATCCTAGAAGGTTGGCTAAGCGCTTTAAAGAGCTAATGTTATTGATAAAAGCAGCGGGTACAATTCCTACTTTGAGAGATTTACTTGCACATACTCATTGTCCATCAAAACCAGATTAAAGAAAAGTATTGATGGTTGACAGACTGTTCCTCTTGTTCTACTACAGGTCTTCCGGCCCCGCACTCCACCAGAAGCAATAGCGCTATGTAGCCGCCTGCTGGAATATACCCCCACTGCACGACTGACTCCACTAGAAGCATGTGCACACTCTTTCTTTGATGAATTACGGGACCCAAACATCAAACTACCAAGTGGGCGAGAGAAACCTGCACTCTTTAACTTCACCACTCAAGGTAGTCAGGGAGCAGTAAGGAAAACTGCATGCCTGAAAATTTCTGTGACACCAATACTGCATAATCTTAGGCTTTGATGTCAGAAGGAATTGATACAAACATTGGGAAGCTGGAAAAAGAGTGGTGAGCTATCTAAAGTGTGAGCTATCAGGAAAATGTAGAATAGAGAAATATGCCTGGAATTACTGTATCTGTTCAGTCTTCATGTGACATATATTTGCATCTGTAATATCAGCTGGCTGTACCAAATAGCGTAGCCAAGGGAATGTGGCACATGCATTGTTTATTAGCAGTGGCACTTGCATCGTTTTCCACCCTCTCGGAATCTGCTGTTTCCTTTGAGCTTAGCTGCAGTCCTCACAGGGGTTTTGGGAGAAGAATTTTTCCAGCAGCATTGTTTTGTTCCTTACTGTGATATCAATTATTGGGTGGGGGGGTGACTTGATCTTGAATGGACAATTAGAACCCATTAGCTTTACAAAAGACCTGCTAGCAGAGGAAAAGTTATGTATGTGATACGGGTCAACCTAGCTGCCCACAATTCTGGATTCTCCTGCGGGGGAGTGGCTGTAGAGACTTGCTAGGATGAGTGTCTACACTGAAAAAAGTGTACCTCTGCAGCAGCACTGGTACCTGTGTCATGGTTGTCAAGTAAATTGATTCCCCATTGGTCATAATGCAAAATAAGTAATTCAGAAGACTGGATAGACCAGAACTGACATCCAAAATAAGGCAGTAGGTTTGCTGTTTCATGGCACATGTTTCAAGGACTATACAGATGTTAGTTAAATCAGAAGTATGCTTGCAGTCTGCTGCTGTTCAGATTCTTTGGAAGTATAGCTCCAACCATTAATGAAAATTTTAATTGAGTTTAGTTGATTAAACTGTCAATGTAAATACAGGAAAACAATATTTCCAAGGCAAGAAATACATACACACACATTTATAGAATATCTTTATACAGTCATGATTTGAAAAGATCATACTTAAAGGATATATTTGTTTTTAGGTGTCACAGTAAACATGTATTAGAAAAGATACTATCTCTTGTGTATCTTTTAAAATAGTGCTTGCCATTTGCAGTTGTCATAGGCACATGATTTTTTAAAAAATCCAGCTGATCCACCAGTATCTTGATTAGAAGCTTTTAAACTAATTACTGTACCCAATTAATGAATGAATTAAGGCTACACCCCCATCCCTACTTATGTGGGCGTATGCTCTGTTGAGATTAGACCTGAGTAGGTTGTAAATGCTAAAGTCCAATTTGGAAGATTTCAGTAAGTTATATTTGAAATAAAGAATGAGTCAGAAGGGGTCTCCTGGGCCATCTAGTCTGACCCCCAGCTCCAGCGGGCTCCACTCATGACATGCCCACCATATTAAAGCCAATTACATGGTATCTTAGAAAGGAAGCTGTTAACACAGAGCATTTGAGTAACGTTCTGCTACCCCACAAATACTGCTGTTGTTGGGACTACTCTGCTGAAGTTGTTCCTTTTTACGTACACAGGAACATAAGACGATGCCTTATATTGAGTCAGACCATGGTCTGTACTGCCATGACTGACTCCCATGACTGACAGACAGGAGTTTTTCCAAGCCCTATTGTGAGATGTTAGGCATTGAGTCTAGAACATCCTGCATGCAAAGTATTAGTAACAAAATAATCAGTTCCTCTTGATCAAGTTTGATTGGGTTCATTTCAGATGTAAGTTACTGTCATCTTCCATTTATGGAGGAGTGAAAGGGACTACAATATTAATCAGAGTTAACTTGGCTTGTCCGCCTGTGTTAAACGTTTAATTTTCCTCGTTTTAGGATTGAATTACTTGAGCCAATTCAAATTCATCTGCTAAAAATCATTGGTTCATCTTGCACTATTGGTTCATCTTGCTCTATTTGTTCCTTTTTTGTGAATATTCACATTTAAAAAGAACTTTGAGAAAATAGAACCGCCACTTGTTTGCTGTGGCTTTGGCTAGAGGTGTTTCTTGAGAGGAAATAAATTTAGGCAGAACCAGTTCTGCCTAACTTAATTATTGCTGCTTAATTAAGAATGTAATGATTAAAGAGACTGAATGGTAACAGTATACTCTCCAGCATTACACAGATGCTAATAGGAACATTCCTTTGAAATAGGGTCATCCTGCTATTATAGATTGCAGATTTTTGCTTCCTCTATGCTGTAATAATTTACTTTACATAGCAATAAGCTTGCTATCCTGGCTTCTGAAGCAGATAAATGGCCCATTACTGCTTTTGCTTTTAAATAATAATTATTATTATTTGTAAATATAAATGCCACTTTTCTACCTCAAGAAGGTCAAAACTATTTCCTTCTATTTAATTAGCAGCAATATTGCATTTAATAGAAACCATCCAGAACATTGTAAGTTTTAAATACTGGCTCATAATCACTTAGTTTGAAACAAGTCCAAAAGTATGTAGGGGATGCACGTGCATATCTGTATTTATAGGAAACATTACTTCAAGTTAAAGTGTTCAAAATATTTAGTTCCTTTCTTTTGCTTTGTTCCTGTTAAAAGATACTCCAGGCCTTGCATCATGGTAAAACAACACAACTTTGCACTTTTGAAAAACCAGTGCCTTTTATTCTTGAAACACCTACTTGATTTTGTCCTAATTATACTTGAAATAATACCGCTGCACTGTCTCTTACTTTACTACCTTAATCCTAATAGGCTGTATTAATTCAATAATGGATAATCTAAAGTGCTTTCCTTGCTATAGAACAGTCTGGATAACTAAAACTTTGATTCTATTCTCACTTACCTGATGCTATTAACTAAATACCCAGACCAACTCCAGCAGATTTCGCAAGCTAACAAGGGCAAGGACCTAAGGAGCAAGTTGTAAGCTTCAGTTATCCTAGCCTGAATTGAATCATTTATCTGTTTCTTATTAACTGATTATATTGTCACCTATTGTTGTTGGCATAGTATAAAAGCAACTGTTAAATTTATGCCAATTAAAGCAAACTTAAGATAATTGGACTTAGTATGAAACATATTGAAGGCTTTTTTTTATCAAACCTCATAAAGGATGTTTAATTTCAACAAAAATGTAAAACATTTTAATTTCTGTTTTTGCAATCATACTTTTAATGTGTAGCTGAAATTTAAAGTAATTCCCTGCAATCTGGTATGTGTTAATAAAACTGTTTAATTTCTATATTTTATGCTGTCATGGGTTAAATAGATTAAACAATTTAAATATATAAATAATAGTTTAAATGAACTTAAGCTTCAGCATTTTGGAGTGTGGGAAGGTAGGGTGATCTTGCCATCTGCTTCCTGTGTTATAGAATCTGGCTCCCATCCTCTTGAAATTATTCGTGTATGTATTACTATAATACAGCATATTTTGTGCATGTAGTTTTGCCATTTTAGAAGCAGGAGATAGATGTGAGAGTGTGTGTAGGTTAGGGGACACATAATAATAATAATGACATGAAAATTACTATTAAAACATCAAGGGACAGACTGAAGTTAAAAGAAAATTGATCTGGGTCATTTGTAGTTACATACCTATAGAAAAACATCAGACGAAAAACCCTGTAAATGAACACAATAATTCTTTGAATGATGTTGAATGGTAAGTTTCCAACTGTGCCGATAGTTCCTTTTCCTTGGGAAGAGCCCCAGAATCATCTACATAGATTTTTAACAAAACATAGTCATACCACTGAACCTTTCCAGAAATGCACAAGAAAATACTGGTCATTACCTTTGCACACACCTTCCTATCATTTATGGCTACATTTCATAGAAGATCCACTGAATCTGCAGGCACAGGTACTCCATATAGGTTGGCTATAAACTGTTTTTTAAAACTTGTTTTTAGAATTGTCAAGTAATCCTTCTCTGGCTTCGACCCTCATACCTGCTCACGCTCGGAATCAAGCAGCTGCTTCAACACCCACGAATGTTTCAGCAGCCTCAGGTGAGACCACATTCATGCCTACTACCCTTTTCCTTGGTACACAGATTCTTCCTCTAACATTTTCACACTGTTGATCCTTGTATCTTAAACTACTGCTTCATTTTTGTCAAGTCCCTCAGTCTCTAATGTAAAGTTGTAGAACATTAAAGGGTAGTGTAGTTCTTGTGTAGGGGGGGCAGGGGTATTTGTTGTTTGAAAATGTTGTTATGTCCCCTGTGGATGTCTATTCTGGATTAACACATTTTTTCCTGCGGTATGTCTTCACACTCTTGCCTATCTGAGATAAACATTAACAATCAGTCACATCTTGGTTTTTGTGCTCATTGATCTCACATGTGCTAGCTCAGAGCTATGTGGAGAAATATAATACAAAACTCCTATTTTTTTTCATGTTTGAATGAGGTATTTTTGAGGAAAATAAATATGAGGTTGCATTCCGAAGTATACAGGGTTCACTCTCAAACTCATCTCTGTACCAGAAAACTGGTTATACCCAGAAAACTGAAAAGTGGTTAAAGATAAATTTTAAAAAATGGACCCAGTGGAATCCTGAAAATTATAGGCCACTTAGTTCAATATTCATTTTGAGTAAATTATAAAAACTCCTGTTGATTTTATCAGGATATTGAGGAACAAAATAGATCTCCCGCATGACTTAATTGTGGATATAAGAGCTGATCTGATATGCATTACTAAGACCTGGGGAGAGGAACAGGGAGGGGTTGGTCTTCATTTGCTGTGACCTCCTGGGTAATAAGTGCAGCACCAATATGATCTTTGGATCATGGTGGTTTTGCTGTGGTCTGTAGGAACTGTTTCTCCCTCTTTAGTCTACCAATATAGGTACTGATCTTGAGTTTATGTTGGGAACCTAGGACAAAAAAGGGATTCAGCTGGTGTAAGATCTATGCTACTACAATTTAGTACTCCTACCTAAGTTGATGGAATTGGTCTCCGATTTGATGTTGGAGACCTCTGGAATGATGGTTCTGGGAGTTATCAAGGGTGAGGCTGGTGGATCCAGGGTAACTAAGGTCTTCATGGCCACCACGGGGCTATCTCAACATGTCATTGGCCCAGCACAGCAAGAAGACACATGCTTGATTTGGTGTCTTTAATTGCATAAGGGGAAAGTAAAAGTCACTCAGATTTATCAGAAATTAGACACTAGATGCACTGTAGTAGTTCCAGTTCTACTGGATGGCCAATTCCAAATGGTGAGATTGAGGGATTTTTGCCATGTGCCCTGACAACTACATTATGAAGTTCTTCATGATCTTTGTGCATCACACATATAGGCTTCGTACCTAGAGAGAGCTTGTTGTAGGGAAGCTTCTATAGCTAAGTGTTTATTTTGAGCAGGAACCTTTCTCCTCCTCTTCCCAGGAAGTGTGGGAAGGGAATCTTGCCCATTTCCTCCATTTCTTTTCAACCACCATCATGCCTTGATCAGGAATCGCTTTGCCCTTCTCTAGCTGAGTATACTGCATTCTTTTTCTTCTTCTTTTCCCCCTCTTTTACCTAGAACAAACCATTCTTTGTTCCTCTCTCTTCAATCAGCCCTTTTGATCAATCATGCTTTCTGTTGCTCTTACCCAAGTTGCCCATGCTTTCTGTGCATCTTTTTCCTTTCTTCTTTCAGCTTTCTTCCCATCTTCTGTAATTTCAGTGGCAGTGGCCCTTAGGAACTGTGCTGCTTCCAATAGCAAGTTGTTCCCATCCAACAGCTACTCCCTCTGCCTTTTTTGCCTGGATGCAGGACATGCTATGGAGACCTGTTCCTGCTGCCAGGCCTTCATGAAACATTCCCCAAAACACTGGGCCTCAAATTTTGGAAGAAGGCCCCCACAAATTGTGCACTCTTCCAGAGAAGGATGAAACCAACCAAGCAGCGACAAGCATGTTCACTGGGCAACTATGTGGTGAGAAAGGCAGTGAAACACTAATAAAAAGATAGCCATTGTCATACTCAAATACAAGAAGAGGCGCCATGTAAGCCCCCATTGACTGGCAAGTGCAACCAATGAGTCTCCACTGCTTGCCAACCATTCCTGTTTCCCAGAGCTGAGGGAAGATGCTGCTGCATCTTCTGGGAAGAGAACTGATAGCCTGGCCTGCCACACTGAGAGACCACCGCTCACCCCAGACCTATGCACCTAGAGGAATGCACTCTTGGGAGCTGACCCAGATACCACCTGACTTGCCTCTGGGTACCCCCACAAGACCACCAACACTATCCTTGGAAAGTGGCTTTATGCCAGAGTGCCCTGCCACAGCAGCCCCATCACCGTGTTCATAGGCCAGGTGACACTGAAACCAATCCCTCTCTCTCCTTATCAAGTGGGATCCACTTCTGACTGGTCCCCAGCATCCTTCTGCTCCAGAGATGGGCCTGGCTACTCTGACAAGGACAACCATTAACCAACCAATACCATGATCGTATGCACCACCTTCGTTCTTCAGCACCAGAGAGACATGAAGGCAGGCAATCCACCAGCCGCAGTCCTTGACATCTGACTGATATTACTCCTTGACTAACTGCAGACCCCAGCACTGAACTATTACCAAGCCTCTGCCAGGCCTCAGTGGCTGATCAACACCAGTTCTCAGTACCAGACCAATGGCAGCCTTCAGTGCCCTGGGTCCTGAGGATTCAGCACCAGTGGCCATCCTCTTCTTGCCGGCTCTGCTCCAAATAGTTAAACAGTCCTGGAAGTTTCCTGCTGCCTCCCTCAACATGTCAAGGAAAGTGGAGTCAATGTATTGTGTGCTAGGTAATAACTTTCCACTCCTTTTGTAACACTGAAATCCAAACTCTGTCACTGTCAAGTTGGCACAGGGGACATCACAACGAGAGCACTCAGCCCCAGTTGACCATGAGGGGCACCAATTGGACAGCCTAGTGAGGCGCATCTGCATAACCTTGTCACTGGGCCTCTGGTTCTTGGAACTATGAAGCCACCATGGCCCAATATCAGCTCTTTTATTGAGACAAGAGCACTGCCATGAGTATCTCCTGGATGAGCTCAGGGACATGTCCTGCCTTCTTCACATGGAAGTATCCAAGCTGGCAAGATACCAAATTGCTTCAGCCAGGCACCATGTAGACTGCAACACCAAGGCCATGACAGGTGTGCTGGTCATCCGCAAACACATTTGGCTCAACTCAGCTGGCCTTATACGGGAGATGTGCTCCCAAATTGAAGACCTCCCCTTTGATGTGGAGGGTCTCTTCATTGAAGTAACAGATAATAGAATGGACTCCATTCAAAAAGCAAGGTCCACAGCCAGGAAAATGGGCTTCCAGCACTTCTAGACCACCTAAGTGGCTTGGAACTGCTTTCTCCCAACAGCAGAGGTGCCTATATGCAGACTGCCCTCACAGGTTTCGGTTTCAGGCAACCCCTCAACAAAAGTGGTGCAACCTCCCGGCCCACTTCAGGCAGGCACAGAAGCACTCAGAAGGGAACAAGTGTCAGCACTGACTGCCTCTACTGGTGGCTCCTACCACATCTTCCCCTCACATCAACTGTGATGGGCATCTTAACCAATTCCTACCCACATAGGAAGTGATAACATCAGACTCGTAGGTTTTGTCCATCATGGAAAGAGGCTACAGGATTGAGTTCAACACCCTCCCACCTCTTAGTGCAATTAGAGGCATACCCCATCCCCACTACTAGTGTAGGAAGTCAACATGCTATTCTGCAAAGGGGCTGTCGAGGGTCCACCACTGTTCAGAGGGTTTTACTCTTGATTTTTTATAGTACTGACAGGAACAGGAAACTCAGACTGATCCTAGATCTTAGAGGCATCAATTGATTCATCACACCCAGGAAATTCAGAATGGTTACCCTGCGGGGCATCTTCTCCCTTGTCTCCATCAACCTTAAAGATGTCTATTTCCACATCACCATATACCATATACCACGATTACAGGCACTTCTCACATTTCCAAATTGGGGAGGAAGTCCCATTTAGCTTCTCCACTGCCCCCAGGGTCTTCACAAAATGCATGGCAGTGTTATGTGCACATCTCTAGCTCCAGGAAGTACAGATCTTCCCATACCTTGATGAGTGGCTCTTGATTGCCCCATATAAGACTGGACTACAGCATTCAGTCCATGATACCTGCTCTTAACTACAAACACTGGGGTTGGATCTAAATCATGAAAAACCTGTTCTCTCCCCTTTCCAGTGCATACTCTTCATAGGGGCTTGCCTCAACTCACTCTCAAAAAAAGCTCACCTCCCCAAACCCAGAACAGCAACACTATACAATTCAGTAACAGATCTCAGCACAAGATCACAAAATACTGAAACCCCTCAGCCTCGTAGCTGCCTTGGTAGCAGTGGTCTGGTTTGGGAAACTACAGATAAAACCCCTGCAGCTATGGGTTGTCCACACTTAGTGCACTGAGGACTACCCCCAAAACACCATCCTGAACATCCTGCCCTCCATCTGGGACAAAGTATGATGGTGGACCATCCAACACAGCCTCACAGCAGGAATCAGCTTCCTTTCTCCGGATGCAGGTAACTGCAGATGCATCCAAGACAGACTGGGGGCACACTGGTGACCTGCAAACACAGAGGTCCTGGAACCACAGAGAAACCAGGCAACATGTGAACTTCCTGGAGATGCTGGCCATATACAAGGCATTAACCTCACTCCAAACATCCTTGCATGGTCAACAAGTACAGATTGCTATGGACAACACAACACTAGCTATAGACATACAGAAACATAAACAGTGTGAGTCAGAAGGGGTATCCTGGGCCATCTAGTCTGACCCCCAGCTCCAGCCAGCTCTGCTCATAACGTGCCTTCTCTGTGCATGTCCAGGCTGTCCATAAACACCCTCACTGACGGGGCTGAGTGGGAGTTGAAAAAGATGGTACTCTACAACAGATGGGTGATACCATCAGTGGATCTCCTTGTCACAGTCCAGTTCACAACATGACATGCCCCCAGTTCTGCTCCTAGACATGACAGGGAA